TTAAGCAGCATTCAAAATGCTCACTGGGAATATGCCTGCCAGCCTTCCAGGTACCCAGTTGGTCTTTAGCAATTAAGTCAGAAGGCAGATTGTGGGGATTGATAAGATGGAATTAAGCAGATAGTGGAGAAACTCTTCTTTTTAATAATAAGTCACCCTTTCTAAACTATCTGCTTAAATTGTATAAACAATCTTCCTTGTACACATAACAATGTTAAATGTTAATTAGTAGTAGAAATATAGTGCTGTAATGATTATGCATTATTATTACCACACTGATTAGATATTTAATGAGTGATATTGTGCTACTGTGTTTAATACAAAAATATATATGATGATTTTGGTGGAGGAAATAAATTTCAAGGATTTTTCTGGTCTTTTTCTCAAAGTCATAAATCTATTAATACATGAGGTGCTATGAAATTTCTGTCTTTTGTTCTAGAAACAGTAAGGTCTATGAGGAGGTAGTTTGTTTTAATTAGATGAAGAGTACTCCAAATATACTTTTGAATATCCATTCCATTAGCAGATAGTTCCCTGTATACAACTGTATGAAAAAGTATTTCTAACTTTCATTTGTTGATTGGACTGAATTTGATTTAATGCCGTACATATGTATATGCTGTTGTTTTTTCTGTTTTCATTCAGTGGTTGGAAATGATGGACTTTATGTGATTTTGAAAGGCTTAGCTCGACCTTATACAACGTCCTTTGAAAATCTGATTGAAGAAAATGACTTAAGTGGCTCCCTCATAACTCAGATCAGTGCTGCTTATGATCAAGGCCTAAAAACATCTCCAACTGTGAAGAACGTCCTACCTCCAGGTGACATAATGGTAAGAAGCAAGTCTTAGGTAACAGAACTCTCAATTCCTAATGTTAGCAGTTTTAGATCCAAATATAGAGTGCTAAAGTACTCAAGCTAATCTATCCTTTATTTGGAAATGCCGTTAAAAGGTCTTGATGTGGGATGCCTTTAACACGATACTGTGTACTGGTTGTGAGATGTACTTGGGCACCAAGACAAGGTCAGTGTGGCTGGCTCACTGGGTGGGGCAGGACACCGTTAGGACATGGGCGAGTGAGTGCGTGACATGAGCAGGGGCCCCAGAAGAGGAACCAGCAAGAGCCTTAAAGCTCAGGCCCAGAATGTGTGTTTCTCAGGTTTGTCTCAAGGTCAGAGCTATAGGAGTCAAGGGCCTGATTGCATTATCATCAGAAATTCTTGCTTGAAGTTATTTTCCTACATGTGTTATCTAACGGTTACTATCTGGTCAGAAAACATGAAATTGAATTTCTTTCTGCAGCTCTGGATAGTGTATGTGGAGATTAGGTTTGGTTTGGCTGTAAGTGTGAATAAAAAGCCACTTCCAGAGTTAAGGTGTTCGGGATGCTGACAGTTGAAAAGAGTTAAAGGAATGAATTGAATTATTTATCATTATGAGATGAAGATAGGAAAACCAAGACAAATATCAAGTCCCAAAATAATGAATTTGGGATAAAATTTTTAACAAGGATAAGTAAAGACAGACCTATAAAACTGTCCTTTTATCTCATATGAATGAATAATATATCTGATCTTTTTCTATAATATGTCACATACTCTATTTAATGTCATTTTATTCTGCTCTAGAAAAAGAATACCATGTTTGTCACAGCACCTACAATTAGAAGTGTCTCTTTATTGAGTGTGTAGTATTCAGTATGATCTATTTGGAGCGAGTTGCTTTTTTTAAAAGGCTAAATTCATGAATTAAATGGAGAGGTACTACTTCTTCATTCTGCCTTAAGTCACTGACAGCGGTATTCATCTCTGTTATTCCATTTTTGAAGTGTGATATTGTTTTCATTTTGTTTTTCTTGCTCATGGTGGAGAGAGAGATAATTTTCAGGTATTTTTCTTTAACAAGTTAACTTATCAACCGTGAAAGTAATATATAATAAATTTCACATTATCTTTAGCAGGTGGAATGATTATTGCCTTGATAATCCTTATAAAATTAATATTTTTATAATAATAATTATTTTATTTTATTGTATTCCTCCTCTCCTGCTCTTGTACATGTTAATACATGCACATCTCATACAGATGTTACCCTTTGCTTTGCAGGCTTTTAAACATGCCTACCAATCCACACATAATCCACACACATGCAGACACTGCTGTCTGAAAACATTGAGATGAAACAGGGAATCACTCAAATGAAAGAGGAGAAACGTTTGCTTTTCCTTAACGTAGGGAACAAAACTTGTTATAAAAACGGAGGAAGGGCCAGCCAAATAGCTCAGTGGATTAAAGCACCTGCAAGCAGGCACAGAGGCTGGGGGTTCGATCCCTGGGCCTGCCATGTCAGCCCCACCCCCCGGGTGTGCTGAGATGGCTATTGAGACTGGGCGTGGTGGTGTGCGCCTGTAATCCCAGCTCTTGGGAGGCTGTAAACAGGCGGACCACTATGAGTCCAATCTAGTAGTGAAATCCTGATCACCCTGTAGATCCTTCCCTAAACACACACACACACACAAAGAGGAGACAGTGCAAGCTTAGGTAGTAGGTGATATTAGGAAGGAGAGCTGTAACAATGAGCAGAGGAGAGTAAGTTCAATGTAGCTTTTGAAGGACAGGAAAATGTCATGGAGTGAAGGAAATTGAGTTATACCTCTATACTTACATTGCACAGAAATCTGCATAATGTTGCACACCGTGAATGAGCTGCCAGCTATTTTCTTGCCCCATCAACCTTGTGTGATCATACATGGAGTCCCTGATATCATTTTTCAAATCACAGGTGATAGACTCAAACCACACTTCATGGCTATACAATCATAGGCAATTTAGACTTAGGGTTCAGGTTCCCCATGCATAAAAACTGTGCTAATAAAAATAATACCCAGTGTTGAAGTCCTTGATTGTACTGAATGTGACTTTCTAAATCACCCAGCAGAGTGTTGAGCATATGGTAGGAGCTAACTTTTTACTTACAGTTGCTGCTATTGTTGATGGTGTTTCTGGTCTTCGTTCTGTCCCTTCTTCCAATGATCATCTTCCTGTTTTCAGTATTTCTTGTCAACACATTATGACAACCTTCCATCTTTTTTATACAATCTGCCAGCTACCACCATTCACTTTTCACATTGCTACTAGAGTGACTTTTGTGAAACCCAAATACTATCACGTGTTTCTTCCATTTGACATCATTTCTAATCATCTGTAAGACAACATTTCAGCTCCTTTGTCGTGTATTTCAAGGCCTTTCTCAGTGAAAGCATTCTCTCATTTTCATTGGTGCTCTGACGCATGTTGGACATGTAGCTTGTGTTTTAGCTTTCCTTCCATTACCTTTCATGTTTTGTTTTTTTGTCTTGATTTCATTCCATAGTAAATTCACTGAAGAGAGTCAATTATTCTCCTTATATAATCTAGCCACTGACATACATGCATAGATCATTTAAAATAAAGGCAATGAGAGAAAATGACTGAAGGAATAAACAATAATGGAAATAATTTAAGTAGGAAAAGTGTGTAAAGGGCAAAGTCTTATGAACAGGGAGGAAACATGGCCCATTCTTTCTCCTGAGAAACTAGTCAGGGTCATGTAGGACATTTCAGTCGTTTGTCGTTTACCTTTCAATCTTCCTGGAAGAGCTCATCTTTGATTAGGAACTATAATAGCCATGAAAAAAGCACAGACTTCATGTATTTCAGAAAGATTAATTTGGAGTTTAGATTTTGCCCTAGTGTCTTTCAGTTGCTATTGTTTGTGTGAATTTGATGTCCTCAGTCCTTCTGACATTTTGAACAAATTTATATGTTTATGTGAAAGCCAATGGATCCCTTTGTACATTTATTATACTGCTGCATATCAGAGGATGCATTTTAAATAAAAGTTTACTCTCAATCCAAAGAATGTCTAATTAACTTTTAAATTACAAATAAAATATGATAATTAGAATAAATTTGATATTCAAAATTGGCCGGAGATAAAGATTTCTAGAAAAATATTTTCTATTCTGCTATAGTTTCACTATTTCTAAGAAAAATATTGTCACTTTTTGAAAAAAAATAATCGTTTAGTTTTAGTCCCATTTATTGTATTTTTGAATATGACAAAGAACAATATCATATTTTAAACATTCATCTCCTTTATAAAAAATAATAGTGAAATATGATATGACATATGTGGGAAAAATCACTTTTGCAGCTGTGTGCATATGTGCTGCCCAAGCGAGTGCTACAGCTGATGTGGGTTTGGGGAAGTTGGCTGGGAAGGAAAAAGGGCGAATGTGAGGAGGCTCTAGGAAGCGCTTCATGCACAGGGTTGTTCGCTTAATGCTGTTGCTTTTAAAGTATAGATGCACAGAATTTGATGGGCTTTGGACTTATTTTTCTTTTAAAGAGAAAAAAATTAAAAATAACAATGAAAGAAATTCCAAAACATGCCAGTAGGAGAGTAACAATAATATGTTGTGTATTGCTATATCAGTAGCAGTTGTTCCCAGTGCAATATAGAGGCATGAAACATTGTCCAAATCGTATTAGCACAGCCCCTTCTTCCCAATCCAGCAAAAGATACTAGCCATTTATCTAGCTTAACTATTTTGTGCATATGTGTATTTTTTCCCTTGGACACATTTTTCTATAATTTCATTTTGATTACTACATGCTTTCCTAATGGTTTCTGTCTTTTAATGTAAAGTCTGTATTTTTCTGATGAAAACACTCTGTCATTAACATGTTAAACATTTCACAATTTTCACATGTGTTTGAAGATACATATTAAAATTTTTAATTTATACGCAAAGCCTACCCCTTTTTTGATCTGTATGTTGCTTGCCTTTCAATCTTTTCTCTTGCTCTTGTAAACGTAGGTCTTCTTAACTGTTCAGCCTCCACAAGCTATATTCATTTTCTTCCCCTTTATGTCACCGAGATTGCTATTGAATCCTAAAGATTCAGCAAAATAACAGTCATGTTTTTTCCTAAAACTTAGTATTAGATAAATGTAACTACCATTTGATCCTGTTGGATCAAATCCTTTTTATCTAACTTAGCATTTTATATATGATTTAACTTCAAGTTGAATTTTTTGGAATATATTCTTGAGTCCTAGTTGATTACTTACTAGGTACTTGAATGTGGTTATATTCCTTAGGTTTTAACAGTTTTTTCATTATTTTTCGGTCTAATTACTGTGTGCTAACTGATTGTGTCTACTGGAGCGCCTTTCATTATTTTCGAGATAGCATATTAATAATATTATTGATACTAGCCTATGTATAGAGCTACTTTGATGTTTAAAGATGACTCATGAAAGTACTTGCCAAAATAAGAACTCTATGCACAGTACATTTTATTTACCGTATATTCTCCAGAAAAATTTTAATAATCTAATTTAATGGAAAGTGCAGAAAGTAGATACAGAAGTAATGTTTGGTGAAATTCGACATCCTTCAACACTAACATTTCTGGAAAGATTAGGCATAGAAACAATGGAACTTGACTGAGCTGTATTTATTGAGTAGAGCACGCAAAGTCCTAGCCAGAACAGTTAGAAAAGGAATAAAAGTGAAAGGTGTCCAAACTAGAAAGGAAACATTTTTTTTATAGAAATTGTGATTTTATATACAGAAAACCCTACAGATTCCTTGATCCTCCAAACCTCTGGGGTAATGTGGCAGGGACTTAAAGTGCAAAGATCAGGAGCTATTGCATAAACTAACAACAACCTGCAGAAGTGTCAGAAGATATTCCAATTCACTAGCAAAAATATACGTAAGTTTGAAGCAAAAAACAGATGGGAGACTTCTATATTGAAAACTATAGAACATTGATGAGGTA